CCCCTTCAAGAGCATGGGGCTGCGTCATGGAGCCTAGCACAGTGGGTGGGAAGAAGGAAAGGAAAGGGAGCCAGGGCGAAGCAGGTAGCAAGGCCCAGGAAGAGCGTCGGGGATCAAGGAGGGCCTCCTGGCAGAGGTGGCTTAACCCCTGGGCTTTGAGGACCAGTAGAGCTTTAACTTGAGTAGAGCTAGTTACTCTAGGTGGAGGGACCAGCAAAAGCAGAGGCCAGAGGTGGGAAAGAAGGTCAGTCCTGGGATATAGGAGGACAACATGGCATGTGACTGGGTCATTCGGGAACCAGTGCTTCATGACATGAGCACTGGGCAGGGAGTCAGGGCAGTTGTTGTGTGAGACTGAGCTGGTCAGCCATTGCCCCTTCTCAGGCCTCAGTTTCCCCATTTGTAAAATGAGAGGAAGGGACTAGAGGCCCTTTTCATTTTCTTTTCTATTTTTAGTTTTTCGAGTCGGTGTTTCACTCTGTTGCCCAAGGTAGAGTGCAGTGGCACGATTACAGCTCACTGCAGCCTCGACCTCCTGAACTCAAACAATCCTTCTGCTTCAGCCTCCCAAGTAGCTGGGACTACAGGCATGTGCCACCGTGCCAAGCTAATTTAAAAAAATATATTTTGTAGAGACAGGGTCTTGCTATGTTGTTCAGGCTGGTCTTGAACTCTTGGTCTCAAGCAATCCTCCTTCCTCAGCCTCTCAAAGTGCTGGGATTACAGGCTTGAGCCAGCATGCCTGGCTAGGTCCTTCTCATTTTAAAACACCATGGCCAATGCTCAATCCATGACTGGACATGTCGTTGGAACCTCTGTCCCCACCTGGACCTTCAGAGTACCCATTTCCCCAGGAATGTGGTAATGGGGGTAACAGCCTCTACTTCTGAAGCCTACCTGGGCCTTTGGCACCAGGAACTACACTTCCAGGGAGCTGAAGGTTTTGGGAGAGAAAGAACCAAGAACAGGGTTGCAGGGGCACTGCAGGGGTGTGAGCATCAGGGCTTCCAGCGGGGAAGGTCGAAAGAGATCACCGAACTGGGGTGCCAGCACAGATCTGGGCACTGGAGGCCATGTTCTCTGTTCTGCACCATCCTGCTGCTGTGGTTCCTGGTGTTAGGCTGGGGAGAGCTGGTGATGGGTCTCAGAGCCACCCCAGTAGGCAGAAGCTTTGCGGAAGTTGGGTGACTCCAGGAGACAAGGAACATTTTTTTTCCTGTACCTTATCTCTGATTCCTACAGAATATCACTGGGAAATAACCATTTTGCCTTTTTTTTTTAAAGTCACAAGGTGGTGTTGAGGTTAGGTGCTCAGATTCTTGTTGTGAACACCTGGATTCAAATTCTACTGTTTTACTAGCTGGGACCTCGGGCATGGAACTAACTTTTCCGGGCCTCAGTTACTTAGTCCACAGGACTGTTGTGACTCAGGGTTGTTAGTCAGGATTTTGCCCTTGCAGGGATCAGAAGCACAATTTAAATTGCCTTAAGGATGAAAAAGAGCAAATCGTGATTTGCTAAGAGGTTTAGGTTTGGGTCTAGCTTCAGGTACAGCTAGATCTAGGGGTCCAATGATGCTCTCTCATACATGGTCTCTTTCTCCATATTTCAACTCTTCTTGCTGTTTCCCCCACTTCCAAACACAGATAGGGTTCCCAGGAGCCTCACACCAGAGTCCTCTGTGGGTGTCTGGTCCACAGGTGTATCCCTCACACCTAGCAGGTGACTGGGATTTAAGGGGCACCCGATAAGGATTTGTCTATACATCGACTGAATGGAATGAAGTCAGGACTGGAAGTAGTCCGACTTGATAGCCTGATGTGAGTTCTGGGACCAAAACCCAGCTTCAAATGTCAGCTCTGTCTGCTTCTGTAGCTGAGATCATGGGTATCACTTTTTGAGCCTCACTTTCTTCACTTGTAAAGTGGGGTTACTCATGGTTCCCTGCCTGGATGGTTATTATGGGGGTGAAGAGAACAAATGCCTGTAACATGCTTAGCACATCATGAACTCTCAATACGTGGGAATCACCAATATTGTTATTGCTGTTATTATTTCAAAGTTGAGCATCTGTGGCTATCCAAATAGCTGGAAGACTGTACAGGGATATAAGAGTCTGTTTTCTTCTCTTGGGATTACTAGGTTTGCATCTTTTCTGTGCTCCAGAAGCCTTGGGGTATAGGGAAATAAGAGCAGAGTTAATTTAAAGAGCCCTGGCTCCAACAGTAGGCCCAGCCCGATCAGAGCCTTTGGAATCCACACGGCTTTTGGCTGGTGGCTGCGGTGGGAGCTGAGGCCCTCTTGGGGTTTCTCTGCTGGGCGGGGCTCTCAGGAGGATAGATAGTTGCGGCCAGAGGTAGCTCAGGGGGTGGCATTGGGCTCCCTGTCTCTCTCTTCTTTGTCTCTTTGACTTGGCCTTTGCCACCTTGTGGTATCTTCAAAATGAGAGAGAGAGAGAGAGAGAGAGAAGAGAAGAGAAGAGAGAATATGAGAGAGAGAAAAGAGAAGAGAGAATATGAGAGAGAGAGAGAGAAAGAGAGAGAGAGTGAGAGAGAGGGAGAGGGAGAGGGAGAGAGAGAGAGAGAGAGAGAGAGAGAGAGAGAGAGAGAGAGAGAGAGAGAATGAGAATGAGTGAATTGGATTCCATGTTCCTGGGCCAGGCCAGTAGCCCAGTAGTGATTGGCTGCCCGTCGTCCAATCAGATGTGTGTCGGGGGTGCGGTGGGCAGGGGTGCAGGTGGAGTCACAGCCAGCTAGACTGACGTGAAGGAAGGGGTTGTTGGAGGAGGCCCCAGAGGGCAGAGGAGTAGTGGAAATTGCTAAGACGGAGAGTTCAGCTTCCAGACCAGCTCAGGCCTTGCTTCCTGCTGGAAGCTTCCAGAGGTGCTTGGCCAGTTAAGGGTCTTCTCTGGGCCTCAGCCCCACTGCTGTCTATCAAAGCAGGTGATTGTAATGTCATTGTCTGGCCAAGTCTGCCTCCGCCATCAGTCTGTGGGCTCCTTGCAGGCAGCAATCAGGCCTGATTCATCCCTGTGGCCCCCCCATTGAGCTCAGGCTGGCACAAAGTATTGTTGCATTCAATGGATGAGGGAATGAATGAATGAAAGAATGAAAAGAGGATGAGCTCCCAGCCCCTTCCTGGCTTGTCATCACTGGACTCACGCAGAGAATTGTCTTCTTCTCCCTTGTCCGGTCCAACTGGGATTCTTCCTTGGCTTAGCAACCCTCAGAAGAGGCCAAGGGGCTTCCTTCTGCCACAGCGTGGCGATGGGGAGAGGCTGGCTTGGCGCCTCCGACAGCGGCGGGTGGAGCGTGCTAATGCACCCTGCACATTAGCATGCCGAATCCACGTCTCTCGTAAGGTGTTAATTAAATTTCTTCGAAGTATATTGTCTGAAAAAAAAAGGATAATTAGAAAGATGTCTTTAAAAGTATTTATGTAACTGATATGGTACCGCTTTTGGTTTGCCGCATAATTAGATTTAAACACAACTCCTCGAGTGGCATACTCATTTGGAGAGAGTTGCTTGTTGAAATGTCATTGCATTGTTTTTAAGAGTTTTGAGCCCGGTAAAACCATTCAGCTGGGAAGGCGGTGTGGAGTGGAGAGAGCACTGGATTGGGAGCCAGGGGTCGAGTTCTTTAGCCCATGTCCACATTGGGGTGTCTGGGGCCAGCTGGACCTCAGTGTCCTCGTCTGTCAAACCAGAGGGCCACCATGGGCTTCTGAGGAACAAGGATCCACCTTTTAAACATTTTCTGAGTATTTTTGCTTGGTGAAGTCACTCCATTTTACAGACATGCAAACAGGCCAGGGAAGCCTGGTCTTCTGATACCAGGCGTGCTTTCTTACACAACCCTGGAAGGACCTTGGTCTAAAAATCATCCAACTGTCTCATTGTTTTGAAAACACGGACTCTTGTGTTTAGTGTTTTTATTTCTCGTGTTACCATGAAATCCCCTGTTTCCCACCTGGCTCCCCTGGAATGGTGCGTGCATTCTGCACGGCACTGGGGAGTCAGTTCTGACTGGATTGTGGACTTCAGTTCATGCATTCTCAGTGGGGGCAATAGTGCCCCCAAGGGGTGGAAACTGGCTCTTGGGGGGGGGGAAGTGAGAAAAGTCTTGCTTTCAGTGGGACACGATGACTCACGTCTGTAATCCCAGAACTTTGGGAGGCTGGGGCAGGAGAATTGCTTGAGACCAGGAGTTCAACACCAGCCTGGGCAAAATAGTGAGACTTTGTCTCTACAAAAAGATTAAAAAAATTTACTAGGGATGGTGGCATGCACCTGTGGTCTCAGCTGCTCAGGAGGCTGAGGTGGAAAGATTGCTTGAGCCCAGGAGATTGAGGGTGCAGTGAGCCACGATGGTACCACTGTACTCCAACCTGGGCGACAGAATGAGACCCCGACTCAAAAAAAAAAAAGTCTTGCTCTTAATGTCTAAAGCATAGACAGATATAGAGTATGTAAACAGACATACACAGTGTCTGTGTTGTTAAGACTTCATGGGGGCTGGACGCAGTAGCTCACACCTTTAATGCCAGCACTTTGGGAGACTGAGGTGGGAGGATTGCTTGAGTCCCAGAGTTCAAGATCAGCTTGGGCAACATAGTGAGACCTCATCTATTTAAAAAAAACCAAAAAAATTCGTGGGGGGAGGTGGAAGTGAGTAGGAAAAAAACACCTAAAAAGGCCCCTCTGGGGTGATTGATGGTGACCAGGAGGCTGCAGTGTGAACGCAATGGCCAGACACTCCCGTTTCTTTTAAACCCCACAACAGCCCTCTGAGGTTTCCATGTTACAGAGGAGAAACTGAGGCCCAGGGGCCGAAAGTGTCTCGCCCGGCTAGTGAGCGGGAGAGTCAGGATTCAGACCCAGATGAGCCCACCGGGGAGGTTGGACCCTCAGTCCTTGGTCTGGTGAATCCGATCTGAGTGGTTGGAGCCCTGAGCTTCGGGTCTGGCCCCGTGACCCGCGGTATCTTCTCTCCCCACAGGGTGGACCCGGTGCCTCATGATGCCCCCAAGCCTCCGGGCTACACCCGCTTTGTCTGTGTCTCCGACACCCACTCGAGGACGGACCCCATCCAGATGCCCTATGGTGACGTGCTGATCCACGCTGGGGACTTCACTGAGCTGGGACTCCCGAGCGAGGTGAAGAAGTTCAACGAGTGGCTCGGTAGGTCCCCCCTGCCTGGGATGGCCGACTGTGCTGGGCAGGACGTGGGCTCCCGCCAGCTCCTTGGGCCACCCTTCTGTCTGGCTGCCTGGCCTGTTCTGCCCAGGGCTCCTCCCTGGCCTTTGCCCGTTCACCTTCCCTGACCTCTGGGACCGGGTCACGCTCCTCTATCCCCTCCACTTTGGACCTCTCCTGCCCCAGCTACTGTCTTGGTTGTGACTTCTCCTTTGTGGAATTGTTTTGGCCTGGGGGACCCCCTCTCAACAGGACTCTGCTCACATCGGTGTTTGCCCACTTGTGTGTCCAGCCCCCAACACCTGGCACAAGCAGGTGGTTAATAAATAATTGAATAAATGAATGGATGAGTAGCTGAATGGGTGAATGAGTGAATGATCTCTGAGAATGGTGATGCCAGTGTATGTACTGCCACGGAGATGGTTTCCTCAGGGGACCAGATGTGGGTTCCTGTGGGCTGCTGTTGGTCGAGGCGGCAGAGTGCTTTTCCACACTATGTGTGATGGCGGGTGATGATTTACAGCATGTCCCCAGGGTTTTGTCTTTGCGCTTTTTTCCAAAATAAGAAAGAATTAAAACTGGGGGGGACCCCTGGGAAAAGTTTTGCATCTTGAAATCCAGAGAACCCTCCCAGTGAGGCGTCACTGTCCCCGCCCGGGAAGACAGATGGATGGCCCCTGCGCAGCCCGGTGCCCAGGCCTGCTGTCACAGAGGCGTGGGTGCGGGGCCGGCTCACCTCCGTACGCAGCCCCGTGTG